GTGATAAACTCTTCTCTTTTCTGTCAGTGCTTTACACCTTTGATTTTGTTATCTTACTGCTGTAGGTAAAATTTCTAGCACTATGTCAAATAATAATGGGGAGAGAGGCATCTTTGCTGTTTATTATTTTTTCCTTCTGATTTCTTCTTTTTTTTTTAACCTGTAGCATTTATTCATTGTGTTAAAGCTGTTTTTGTTTATTTCTTTAATTATGCCTTTTCTTTTTGTGTGAACCATTTTTTGGGGGAGGGTTTTTAGTTACTCTACTTGTTGACAATTCTATTTCTGTATTTCTGTATTTCTGGGGGCTGCGGGGGGAACTCCAGTCTCTTTCTACCTCTCCTGCCATCTTGCCAGAAGTTTTAATAGGCAGTAATGGAATCAGAGAAATGAAACTAAGAATTAAATGAACTGAGAATTTTCCAGACATCTATAAAAATCTAACTCATCCGAGTTATTAGAAAGTGTTTGGGATGTTTTCTAAGTAACTGTATTTTCCAGTGTTACTCAGTCCTTTCAGTGTGACATACTAGTAAATTTCTAAGTCTGCTGTGGCATTTTGGGGAAGTTCAGAGGGGCATGATGCAAGAATGGCACATTCACTGTGAAAATTAGCACCTAGATGTCTATCTGCTGATTGAAGAGCATAACTGGGAAAAGTGTGCCTTTAATAGATTACATTTGATTAGAATAGTGAAGAGAGAGGGCAGCTCGATGGCGCAGTGGATAGAGCACCAGCCCTGAAGTCAGGAGTACCTGAGTTCAAATCCGGCCTCCACCCAAACACTTGACACTTACTAGCTGTGTGACCTTGGACAAGTCACTGAACCCCAATTGCCTAAAAAAAAAATAGTGAAGAGCAAGAAGAGCAGGCAATGGATACTCCGCTGTCTTAGTGTTCTACTCTGAGAAGACTGAAGGAAGGCCTTATCTTGATGGGGAGGAAGGAAAGGTGTGGCGCACACAAGCAAAGCTGGCCCTACTGAAGCTACCTTTGTAGAAAAAGAGCCAAGTGTAGGGGAAGCTCATCTTTTTGTGCCAGCTCAGTCTTTGTGAATATGTCCTGAAACTTTGGTTGGGAAATGATGGTTTAACTAACTTTTGATACAGAATGAATCTGAAACACCATGCTTTGTAGAACTTAAAAAAAAAAAATTAACAAGTCAGTTAATTAAAAAAAATGATTGATTTATTTTTACCCCCATGCAGTAAACTCCAGTGGCTCATTATTTCCTCCAGGATCAAATACAAAATTCTCATTCAAAGCCCTTCATAACTTACTCTCCTCCACCTCCCCCTGCCCAAGTCTTCTTATACTTCCTTCCCCATTACACACTCTTTGATCCAGTGATTGGCCTCCTGGCAGTTACATGAACTAGACACTCTATCTCTTGCCTCCGAGCATTTTCTCTGGCTGTTCCACTATGCCTTGAATTGTCTTCCTCCTTATCTCTGCTTCCTGGCTTCCCTTGCTTCCTTCAAGTCCCAACTAAAATCCCACTTTCCACAGGAAACCTTCCATGACCTTTCTTAATTCTAGTGCCTTCTCTCTTTGAACTATTTCTTATATATTCCATATATAGTTTACTTGTACACATTTGTTTGCTTGTTGTGTCATTGTTCCCTCTCCCCTCGCCCACCCTCAACTAGATTGTGAACTCATTGAGGACAGGGACTGTCTTTTACCTCTTTTTGTATCTCCAGCATTTACCACTGGGACCTGGCATGTAATAAGTGTTTAATAAGTGTTTATTGACTGGGTGTTTAGTCCTCCTCTCACCCCTACCCCTCACCCCTTCACAAAGAAGGGAGAGAAGTATATTTTCTCATCTCTTCTATGGCACTAAGCTTGGTTATCTTAACTACATAACATTCAATTTTTTCCCCCATTTACATTGTTATAGTCATGTATATTTCTTTTCCTAATGCAGTTTACTTTTTATTTTTTTATTTTTTATTTTATTTTATTTTATTTTGGGTAGGCAGTGGGATTAAGTGACTTACCCAGGGTTACATAGCTAGTAAGTGTTACGTGTCTGAGGTCGCATTTGGACTCAGGTCCTCCTGAATCCAGGGCTGGTGCTCTATCCATTACGTCACCTAGCTGCCCCATGCTGTTTACTTTTTATTGTTTTTCTGTGCTCCTCTGTATTTATTTCATCATTTCTTACAAGGCAATACTGTTCCATTACATTTATGTTCCACAATTTGTTTAGTCTCCTTTCCCTGTTGCTGGACATCTACTTTACTTTGTTTCTAATTTTTTTGCTATTACAAGAAATACTACTACAAATATTTTGGTTTATATGGGGCCTTTATCACCGTCTTTGATCTCCTTAATGTATATGCCTAACAGTGTGATCTCTGGGTCAAAAGATATGGACATTTTTGTCACTTTCTTAACTTAATTTCAAATTGCTTTCCACAGTGGTTGGACCAATTCATAGCTCCACCAATAATGCATCCATATGCTTGTCATCTCACAACCCTACCAACATTGACTGTTGCCAGTTTTTTGTCATCTTTGTCATTTTGCAGGGTGTGAGGTGAAACTTCAGAGTCTTTTGATTTGTATCTCTCTTATTATTAGTGATTTAGAGCCTTCTTCCTTGTAGTTGTTACTGTGCATTTCTTCTTTTGAGAACTGTTTACTTTTGGCCACTTATATGTTTTGGGAATGGGGATACTCACTTTTGCTGGGTAAGGTTTTCTTGGTCATAAGTTTATATCCTTTGCCTTCTGAAATAATGTTGGTTGCTAAATAATGTCATTACTGTGGCTCTTAGGCATTTGAATTTTTCTCTCTGTCTCCTTATAGTATTTTTTTCTTTGATCTGGAAGCTCTGGATTTTAGCTGTGATGTTCCTGGGAGTTTTAATTTTCAGGTTTCAAGAAGTGATTTAGTGGATTCTTCTATTTCCAGTTTGTCCTCTGGTTCTAAGAGATGTTTTCTTCAAGATTTTTTGGAAATGTAATGTCTTGGCTCTTTTTGGTAGTACAATGATCCTTGAATCTTTTCCCCTTGATCTATTTTCCAGGTCATTCATTTTTGCTATGAGATACCTTAAATCTTCGTCCACTTTTTTAGTATTTTGGCTTTAATTTTTTTTCCCCATGAAATCATTAGTTTCTATTTGGTCCATTCTGATTTTTAGAGAGTTTGTTGCTTAGGCAAAGTTTTGAATCTCTTGTGCTAAGCTAATTCCCTTTCCAGTTCTTTCCTCTATTCTGTCACTTTCATTTATTTTATTTTATTTATTTATTTATTGCAAGGCATTTGGGATTAAATGTCTTTCTCAGGGTCACATGGCTAGTGAGTATCATGTGTTTGAGGCTGGATTTGAACTTAGGTCCTCCTGACTCCAGGGCTAGTGCTCTATCCACTGTGCCACCTAGTTGCCTCTACTTTCATTTCTTTTAAAAAGTTTTTCCCTCTAGCTCTCTCATTTGATTTATAAAAGACATTTTAAAACTCTTTGTCTCTTCTAAAAATTCTAGTTGAATTTGTACCCAAGGTGTGTTTTTCTTTGAGTATTTGCTTGTAGATATTTTGAAGCCATTCTATTCTTTTGGATTTGTGTCTTGAGCATGCTTTTCACCACAATAGCTTTTTGTGGTGGGAATCTCTTTTGTTTGTTTGTTTGCTCATCCAAATTTCAGACTTTATATTAGGGTAGGACTTTGTGCATTATAGGAGGGAAGATCTGGGCTGATCCCACAGCTATTTTCTTGGTTATTGTGTGTTGTGTTATTCCATGCTCTTAGGGACAGCTCAGTCTGGGGACCTGCGAGCTTTCTGGACCTAGAATGATCTGATCCAGGGCAAGTCTTATTGCTACCCTTCTGGTTTGATCTCAGCAAGTTCCTGATCTGGGTTTTGGCCTAAGCATCACGAGACTTCTGCTGGACTCTGCTTCTGCCAGTCAGTTCGGGTGTTGTGCTGCTTCAGTGGGACAGTCTTATAGGCTTCCCTTGGTCCAGTGTTTCTGCTCCAGACTGAGACTCTGCTTTGGTCCTGGGCTCCAAGCCACGTAGTTGCTACTTGCTTCTGAGCTTGCTGCTTGCTCAGTCCATAGCCCAGAGCCCAAGAATTCTCCCTGCCCTGGAGCACTGCCCCTGGGCGTAGTTTCTCTCAGTTCATTCTGGATCAAAGCTGCCAGTTGGCACCCATTTCCTCACCCTGTACAAGTTAGTGGTGCTCCAGTATAGTTTCATTCCTCGTTCTTTCTCAGTACACAGCCTTTGCCATCTTTCATTCCCCGGACACTAGACTCTTTCATGCAGCCAGTGTTCTTGGCCAGACCCTGGCCACTTTTTCTTATATTTCCCAATCAATATTTAGTCTTGCACCTTTTCTATTTCTTTTCAGAAGAGTTGTGTTGAAGGAGGGAACTTACAATGTTTCTTTATGCTACTCTGCCATGTTTTCTCTCCTTTCAAAAGATGGGAACACAGGAAGGGAATAAGCATTTCTTAGGGGTTTACTCTGGAGAAATGGCAAATCACTATAGTATCTTTGCCAAGAAAATGCCAAATGGGATCACATAGAGTAGGACATGACTGAAAATGACTTAACAAAGGTGTTTACTATGTGCCAGACACTATGCTAGGTGATTTACAGATATCTCATTTGATCCTCACAGTAGCCTCAGGAGGTAGGTACTGTAATTATTCCCATTTTCCAGTGGAGGAAACTGAGTCAGACCATGGTTAAATTGAATTGCCCAGGGTAACACAGAAGGAGGTGTCTGAGGCTGGATTTGAACTCAGATATACATTTTAATCTACTAAAGATATCAATTGTTGGAATTCACAGTGAATAGCAAAGTTTGCTGAATATTTTTTTCCTCTAAGTAGACTCCTATGAGAAAGATGAACTGATTTTTAAAAAATGAATACATTGTGGGCTGGTAAATCTTTGGCTGCATCTTCTTATATGGAACTTAATTGCATGATGTCTGGTTAAAAGTTTAACTTTTTATTTCTCATTATTCTTTCAGCTTGTGCTGCATTTCACCAATTCTTGCAGCCAAAGTACTTAAGGGTGCAGAAGTGACGGTAGGACATGAACAAGAGGAAGATGGAAAGTGGCCTTATTGTGCGACCGCAGAAGCCATTAAAGCCTTAGGAGCAAAGCACTGTGTGAAAGAAGTAACTATATCCTTTTTGGACAGCAGTTCTCTGTCCTCTGTCAGATATTGCCACCAAAGGAGAGCTTAAGGGGTAGCAAATTGGATTAGCTTTATGCTACTATGAGTTTCAGGTGAGTAGGGAAGGGAATAATCATTTATAGAAAGTCTGCTATGTGCCAGGTGCTGTGCTAAGCCCTTTCTAAATATCTCATTTGATCCTCTCAATGATCCTGGGAGTTAGGTGCTGCTATTCTCTCCATTTTATAATGGAAAAAACTGAGGCACACAGAAGTTAAGTGACTTGCTCAGGGTCAGACAGCCAGTCAGTGCCTAAGGTCATTTTTTTTTGTTTGTTTTAATTTTTTTTTCTTTTTTGTGAGGCAGTTGGGGGTTAAGTGACTTGCCAGAGTCACACAGCTAGTAAGTTTTATGTGTCTGAGGCCAGATTTGAACTCAGGTCCTCTTGACTCGAGAGCCGGTACTCTATTCACTGTGCCACCTAGCTGCCCCCCCTAAAGTCATGTCTTTGTGATTCCAAAGTCATGTCTTTGTGATTCCAAGCTCAATGTCACCTGCCTGCCTAAGTGATAGGATTGTCTTCTTTGTCCTTAAATACTAAACAACTAGTGTAGCTTTCTTAGTAAGTTGGCTCAATTGTTACAAAAAAAAACTTAAGAACTTTCAGTGAAGATTATATTTGAATAGTCGACAAACTATATTACCACACAATATCAAGAATGGAGTCAGAGAATGGTTCTGAGATGCAGAAATGTAAATACTTTACATAATTAAATATTATCCAGATGAGTACCAGATGGACTGGCAATTTGTTGACTTTTTCTTTTCCATAACTTCTCCTTACGAAGCTCATGTGGACATCAAGAACAAGGTGGTCACAACACCAGCCTTTATGTGTGAAACAGCATTGCACCTTATTTTTGATGGGCTTGGGATAATGGTACAGAATGTGTTGAAACTAACTAAAAAATAAGAACCCAGATTCTCAATAACAACGAAAGACTTGAGTGCTTCAATTCTGAGTAGAACAATATCAGACAGAGAGTACTTTGACCTGGTAACCTGTATTTTTTTTCTTGCTTGTTGATAAAAGTCCGACCAGCTAGACCAAAAGGTTGCCTTTTTTCTTCTTCTGCCTCTACAGGATGAGAATTTATTTTACTGGGTAAGGTATAGATGTTACTCCTAACTAAGGAGAGGACTTTTTAGGTTGCTAATTTAGAGATGAAACATTTCACCCTAGGTTTGGTTTGATTCACTTGTTAGAGAACGAGGGATTCCCACAATTGAGAGCAGTAACTGTAATGTGTTTTTTACAACATACCGCTTAAGTTAAAACCTAGACCAGCTTTTGCTGGATGGTAATTGAATAGAAAAAATATTTTGCAATCCTAAATTGAATTTATTATATCACTACTTTTTATTATTTGGAAGTGGTGGGGCATAATGTTTTAACTTCACATCTTCCAAATCTGAATGTAAATGGAACCAATAAAATAAAAGAAGTAAATACTTTGTGTTTGTTTGTGGATTCGTACTGATGTGTATGATACTGTAGCACAGAATCTCATTAGCCAAAGAGAATGTGTTTAATTCTTAAGTGAAGGCACATTTTAATAGCTTTGGGCCTGATGATACTGGGTAAGGTATATAAATATGTGATAAATATGGTTCTAAGAATGTGTTCTTTTAAGTGAGTCTCAATTCTTCATTGTAGATCTCACCTTTGTACTCAGGGAGAAGAAAGGGAAATTGCAGATCTTTAAATCTATTACAATGGCTTCCTAACCTTGTTAAGATTTCCTGACAGTAATTGTGTAGTTGGCTCAGATCTCCAAACATGTAAAAACAAAATAAAATTTACTGATGCAGTTGCTGTTGCCATGAAAATAGCCTGTCTTCTTAATTGTGGAATCTCCTTCCCATCTTTTCTTTCATTAAAACAGCAGGAGGTAAAACACATGTTGGTTGGCCTGCCTTTGAGCTTTTACTTCTTAGAATTAAATTCAATTCAGTAAACATTTATTAAGTGCCACTGTGTGCCAGGCAAATGCTAAGCACTGGGGATACAAAAAGAGGCAAAAGACAGTCTTTGCTTTCAAGGAGCTTTCAGTCTAATGGAATAGCTAACAGTTATACAGTGCTTACTGTGTGCTAAGTGCTGTGCTAAGTGCTTTACTGTTTTACAGAGTTGCTTAGCATCTCTGGGAGGTAAGTGTTATTATTTATCCCCATTTTAGGATGAGGAAAATGAGGCAGATAATGGCTGTGACTTGCCCAGGGCCACACAGCTAATAAGTATCTGAGACTGCATTTGAACTCAGGTCTTCTTAAAGCCAGGCTCAACACTCAGCTGCAGGAGCCTCTTGATAATAGCATACTTTAGAATACTTTTTGAAAGGATACAATGCTTTTGTCTGCAAGTTGAGATATGACAACCTTTCCAAGGTGCGCTTTGTTTACTGTATCTGTGTTTGTGTGCCTACCCCAAGTCAGTACCCATACTTATTTGATAAAATGAGTTACCAATCCTTAGTGAGTAGTGAGGTCTTCCTGCTTGAAACCAAGTCTTCATTTCACAAGGAATCATCGGAGTAGAGTTTTCCTGTGTAAACAGTACTATAAATGATGGCTAACTCCTCAGTTTAGTACATACATAGATAAAGCATGTATTAAGCACTCACTGTGTGTTAGGTGCTGTGCCAAGCATTGGGAATACAAGTGTGAGCAAGTAAGGCAGCCTTGAATGGGAGGAGGGCTGAGGGAAAGTGACACTCCAGGGACTGTGTTCAAAGAGTACCGAAGAAGCATACAGCCCAGCTGACAGTTCTGAAGGTGATTCACAAGTTCCATTTCCTTAGCACTTGAAAGCTTTCCTCACAACAACCCTCTGAGGTTGTATTATCATCCCCACTTTACAGAGGAGAAAACAAGCTTTCCAAATTCACACAGCTAGAAGGGTGAGTCTGGCTTCCTCCTGAGTACAAATCAAGCATTTATTCTACTGCACTGTATTTCTCTATTTAAGGTTTTCCTAAATTATGGACTCCATCCATGTTAAATCACAAACACTAATTCCAATGCCGAGTTTCCCTTGCCTCTCGCACTATTTGATTTGCCTGGAATGTTAAAGTCATTCTTGATTTCCTGGAGGAAAAATTTTGGAAAAATCAGAGGAACAAAGTACAGGTAGCTCTCTTCAATTATTAAGTACCTACTTTCTTGCTGTAGGCAGAGAGGTGAGATAGGAGGTAGTTTTCTGTGTCTTTTGAGGATAAAGCTGGCCCAGAGAAATACAATTACAGAGGTGATCCCCAAACCTCATTTTAGTTAATAGTGTACTTCACTTTTCCCACTAAATTTTTTTTTTTTTTAATAAAATTTTGTCGGGTTAATTTCTCTTTCTTGGCTTTAGTTTTCTCATTTGTAAAATTAGTGGGTCAACCTAAGTGATCCTTACATTTCCTCCTAGCTCTAAATCCAATGGTCCTATTTTTAGTGTTGAGTGAGAAGCATTGTCTGCCACCAGGGGGTGGTGATAGAGCAGTTTTGTGGCTGGTAAGACTGTTCTGCGAGCCTGTACCCTTGTTCTCTGCTAGGTTGCTGCCCCCAAGGAAACAGACAGTGCTAAGGAGATTGGTCTCATGAGTATGGGGGAAAGACCTGCCCCTTGCAGGGTAACTCTGTGGAGATGGAGGTTGAGGGGAATTCATAGAGGAGGAGGAGAGGCACCTTTTAAGCCAGCTGGTTTAAAAAAGAAACAGCCATAAGCCATGATAACTTCATTTCAAACTGCTCTCTCTACATCCTGCTCGCAGCAGTCAGGCTCCAAACTGCTCTTTTTTTTCCCTTTCCAGGCAGCCCTTGATCATGGGATCATAGGTCTGAAATTGAACCTAGAATAGTGCTTAGAGATCATCTAATCTGACCCCAGCAAATGAGGGGAATATGATGAGACAGGTAGAGATTTGCCCACGGTCACATTTATCGTTGTTCAGTTGTTTCTAGTCCTGTTCTACTCTGTGACACTATTTGGGGTTTTCTTGGCAGAGATATTGGAGGGGTTTGCCATTTCCTTTTCCAGCTCGTTTTACAGATGAGGAAACTGAAGCAAGCAGGATTAAGTGACTTGCTCAGGGTCACATAGCTAGTAAGTAGTACGCATCTGAGGTCAAATTTGACCTCAGGAAGCTGAGTCTTCCTGACTTTAGACCAGGTACTCTGTGCACTGTGGCGCCACCTAGCTGCCCATCCAAGGTCACATAGGTAGGTAGGAAATAGCAGAGGCGGGATTCAACCTATTCTCTGACTCTAAATGTACCACTCTTTATCACACTGCAATGTTAATTTTCACTTCATGTCCTTAATGCATATGATGGTGGTAGGGAAGCACGTTGCAATTTGTATTCAGCTCCACACCTCATAAGGTTGGTTCTGGTTTCTCTCAGGATAGTTTTGCTTACCACTAATTTGTGCTCTGATGAGAAACTCTCTTCCCACTTAGTTTGTAAGTGATATTGAGGCATAGTTTCTAAAGAAATCCTTGCTTGTTGCCAAATCTGAGATGGCTTCTTCCTGTAGAGGTGTCTTGTTCCTACAGATCCATCTTGTCCTTGGCGGGAAAGGAGTGGGTGGGTAAAAGTAGAGTTATCCTCCAAAAATGACTCTTGAAGCTTAGCAAAGAAGTGTTGGCAGCGTGTTACTAGGGATTTGTCATCTGTTGGGGATGTTCTTGCTATCCCCATCTTCCTTGAGCTTAAGAGTAGAATAGTCACAGAACAGATAGGAAATGAATTGTGCTTTTTAATCTCACCTTTCTCATCCTCTTACTCATTTCCATTTCATGGTATCTTTTTTTAGAAAAATGTCAGGGCGTACATTATTAAACACCCAGTGGCTAAAACTAATTTATCATTAGCTTCTTTAAAGTGTTTTCTGCTGCCTCTGAACCATCATTATAAGGAAGTATAGATCTGGGTTGTAGGTACAATTATGGGTCACCAGTACTTTGAAAATCAGAGTGTGAATATAGTTATCTGTATCACAGGGGTTATGGGCAGTGCCCCTGTGATCTGGAAAATCTGTGTAAAAATTTTTGGTTCTCCCTTTCTACCAGAGAAGTCTGAATTTTTTTTCCTTTTTTATTTTATGGGGTATTTACAGTACCTAATAAAATTTGGGTTAAGTATTTGGTCATAGGGCAAATATAGGTCAGTGTTAAGTGAAAATACTAACCTTAGTGTGTCGTCTACTGACTTTTGCGTTTTGTGTTTGGCTTCCACAAAACTCCCCCAAAATTCCCATTTAATTTCTTACATCAATCCATGATATATTGAAACAGTGATGGGGAAAGTCGCAATGTGAAGGGATAACTGTACTACTCTCTGATTCTTGAAGGGAAAGGTAAATTTCTGGCCAAAGGAAGCTGAGAGTCACCTCTGCTTTTCTTAACACATGGACCGATCTTTAAAATGCCATAAATATAAGTGTGATTTATTAGTATTGTTACTATTACAGTGTTGGGAAGTTGGGAAAACCAGTTAGCTAAGATAATTAAGACAGACCCACACACACACACACACACACACACTCACACACACAGGTTTGGTTTCAGAGTGTTTTACAGGTAGTATCTCATATGATCATATGATATTCACAGTAATAATATAAGGTGTATATTGTCTATTTTACATATATATGTATGTGCCATTTCCTCTGATAAGAATGTGGGTCTCTTTTTTTTTAAATTTAAAATTTAATATTTCATTTTCCCCTAATTGCAAGTAACAACAATTTTAACATTCTTTTTTCAAATTTTGGTTTCCAAATTCTTTCTCTCCCTCTCTGAACTCCCCCAGTCATTGAGAAAGAAAGCAATTTGATATAGGTTATACATGTGTAGTCATGCAAAACATTTCCATATTAGTCATGCTGTGAAAGAAAACAGACCAAAAAAAAAAACCAAGAAAAATAAAAAGTATTCTTTGATCTGCATTCAAATTCCATCAGTTCTTTTCTCTGGAGATGAATAGCATTTGTCATTCTAAGTCCTTCAGAATTGTGTTGGATCATGATATTGCTGAGATATAACTAACTTATTCACAGTTGATCATCATACAGTATTACTCCATATTACTATATATAGTGTCCTCCTGGTTCTACTCATTTCACTTTGTGTCAGTTCATGTAAGTCTTTCCAGGTTTTTCTCAGAGCATCCTGCTCATTATTTCTCATAGCACAATAGTATTCCATCACAATCATTTACAACTTGTTTGGCCATTACCCAATTGATGGACATTCCCTCAATGTCCAATTTTTTTTTTCAACAAATCAGGGCTTAAATTTATTATTTTGTTGACTTTCTAGACTTAAGAAAGTGATGGGAAAAATGTTCATAATGCAGATTACGTTTAAAAGTGTGTCACATGTATTTTTTTTAAATTTAGAGAGCCATTTTTTAAACAAATGTCCAATTCTTAGCCACTACTGAAAGAGCTGCTATGACTGTTTTTGTACATATAAGTTCTTTTCTTTTTCTTTTTTTATGTCTTTGGGATTTAGTCCTAGTACAGGTATTGCTGGGTTAAAGAGTATGCATGATTTTATAGTCATTTAGGTGTAGTTCCAAGTTGCCCTACAGAATGGCTGAATCAGTTCATGAACTCCGTCAGCCATGCATTAGTATCCCAATTTTCCAACATCCCCTCCAACATTTGTCATTTTCCGTTTTTGTCATATTAGCCAATCTGATAGGTGTGAGGTGGTACCTCAGAGTTGTTTTAATTTGCATTTCTGTAATCACAGTGATTTAGAGCATTTTTTCATATGACTATAGATAGCTTTCACAGTGTCATCTGAAAACTGCCTGTTCAT